GTCTGTAATCTTGTGTTCCACTGTGGATATGAGCAATCTTTTATGCTCACAGTAACAATTTGGAAGTGTTAAAGTTTGAGTGCTGGGCCCCCGGTGCTTGCACATGTTTAAATTGGCCCTCCCTGAAAGCTGATGTATTCCAGCTGGTCTATGGGATTTCTTGGCTTAAGGTTACTGGAAACACTGAATGTTTCTTCTGCAGTGATCCTGTATCTGTCCAAGAGTAATACACACACTCAGAGCTTGTGCCCGAGCTGCTCAGGACTGAAACACTGCAGGACAAGTGCTTTTAGTGCACTGTTTTTTCCTGTCTGCTTTAAGAGCTGTTTGAAATCCTGAGTCCTGCGGTTCACGTTTCYAATCAATCTCTAACATGTAAGTGAGCCTTGATGGGTAAATAAAACACACACGTTTGCAACTCATTTCCTCTAACGTTTTGCCTAAATAATGCAAATTAAGCAACTAGATTTTTTTTTATATTTATGTCAAGAAAAGGAGCCATTACAAGCTGCAACAAAGTAAATTATCAACATGAGCAACAAGGCTGGATTAACCATTCAGATATCCACTGTAAGAGCTTTACAGTCCCACTGCCTCTTTGCCATTCCCAGAATCTCCAGGCTCAGGGACAGGTATGTCACCAAGTTAAAAAAGCACAGATGCATTCAAACTGGGTCACACAAGTCATTAAAACAGCACATTCCTGCAACAATTTTCACAACCCAGCTATCTCTCACTGTAGCAGACTCTGAGAGCATGCCTGGCCCTTGGCTTGATCCATCTCCCACCAGCCTGAGCAACTGCTAGCAGCTGGAGRGATGCCCACGTTTCCAGCAGCACTGCTGACTCTTTAAACCCTGYCTTTTGCTGCAGAAGCTGTGCTGCATTTTAAAAGTGAAGATTCAGGAGTATTAAAAATATTTCAGCCTCTTCATCATGTTTACTTTCCTATGCATTTCCATCTTGTTCAGTTGAGATTCAGCCCTTCGCTCGCTTCCAGTACAGCTGGAGCACAGATGCAGGGAACCTTTTCTGCTTCCCAGCACCTCCCATTCCTGCCAAGCTGCAGGAGCCCCTGCAGACCTGCAGCCTCTTCATGAGTTAGCTCAGAACTTTCATYTAAAACAGCTCAACACACCTCTCCAGGGTGCTCCCAGGCTTAGTCAGTACCCCCTGACATGCACTCCTTGGCTGAAAAGCACAGCCAGCCCTGACTGCTGGCAGCTGGGTTTTTCTCAGTGTGGTGGGAAYCAGGCAAAGGCTCCAGTGTGTCTCACTTTGGGGCAGTGGAGCTGGTGGCTGAGGTTACTCATTACCCAACACGAGCTGCAGCAGGCACTGGGGCAGCAGCTCCCAGGGTCGGGTGAAACTCCTTTCTCCAAAGCAGCCTGCAGATACAATTAAAAATGCACTGGCCAAACTCCACAGGAACCCTTCAGATCAACTCCTCTTCTCTCAGTTCTTGTGGTGAAGGCACACTTCCTCCAGAGTTCACTTCAACTCAACTTTCAGCCATTAGCCAGGGGAGAAAATATCCTGGCTGCAAAACGGTGTTATGGCCTTGACTAAGTGGCTAACTGGGAGGGAAATGGATCCATGTGCTCAGGAGGCAGGTTTCCATATCCTCATAATTGCTTCCAGCAAATGTTGACCGTTCTCCCTCCTCAGCATAAGTGGGAGCATCTTCTGCTTGACTGGTTTTGCCATGTGTTTTGTAGAGAGTGTCTGAATGGGGATTTACATGAAAATAGTATTGCTGAGCATTTAGTTCTGACCATTTTGTGCTTGGTACAGCCATCTGCAATCAGAATATTTGGAGAATATTACAGATGTTCTTGCATTTTTGTCTCAAAAATTCCTAAAATATTAAACTCTTACATCCGCTCGCTAGAGTTGCCAAACTTTTTCTGCACTTCTGTTATTAAGCAGCTCTGTTATTAAGCAATCGTGTTATTTAGTGGATGTGAGACATCTTTGTGGTGTTCAGCACGGCGTGCCAGGAGCTGGGCGGTCACTGCTGGGGAGTGGTGTCCTGGCTGTGGTGTCCCTGGCACAGGGAGCTGTCCCCATCCTCCTGCCCACAGCCAGGCACTCACATCCCTCAGCACGGGAAACACGGGGCTGAAGAGTTCCTCAAGGATGGAAGATTGCTGTGGGATCAATCCCATCACAAGGGGCTTTTTAAACTGCTTTTATCATGCACAGCTCTCTAGATGACAGAGAGAGGGTGAGAACAGATCTGAAGCAGAACTGGCCCTTTCTTTAGCAAAAATTAAGATGTCASATTTTCTCTAATGGAAGCTAATCACTACCCAACTAAGCAGCATGCTCKGAGGGTGGCTTTTCATTTTTAGCCTTGGTGTAATGTTCCTGAAAGCTAATAGCATCCATAATGTTGTTGCTGATTTGTTTTGCTGCGTGAAAAGAAAGCAGAAAATAGAATTGCTGTATGTAGGAGGTGAAGATGTGTTTTGTGTAGTGAGCAATGTGCTGCAGTAAGAAAAGGCTGCCACGGTAAACATGCTGTCCCCACGAAAGCCTGAATGTAATCATGTGGCCAACCACTTGTGATCTTTGAAAGGCGAGGCGTCACCTGGGTGTCTGAGCACAACGTGATTCCGGAGGCAGTAATCCAAACAATCCATCCAGGCAGCCTCTCTGCAGAGCTGCACAGCCCTTTGTGAGCAGAGCCCACACCGCTGTCTGCATGGGCTGGAGGCTGCTGCTGCCTCCTTCCACCCCACACACATTGTCTGCCTCCAGCAGCACCAGCTGGGCAGTGGAGGCCGTGGATGAGGCTCTGCAGAGTGCCCAGCCCAGTGTCCAGTGTCCAGTGCCCAGCCCAGTGCCCAGTGCCCAGTGCCCAGTGTCCAGTGTCCAGTGCCCACCCAGTGCCCAGCCCAGTGCCCAGTGTCCAGTGCCCAGTGCCCAGTGCCCAGTGTCCAGTGCCCAGTGTCCAGTGCCCAGTGCCCAGTGCCCACCCAGTGCCCAGTGTCCAGTGTCCAGCCCAGTGTCCAGCCCAGTGCCCAGTGTCCAGGCAGGCAGGTGCTGGGGTGCTGCCCTCCATCTCCTCCTGGCCTTGGCAGCAGCTGCAGCTTCTGTGTTTGACAGACACCACAGTGCACAGCAATCTGTGTCCCACCAAGCTCACYCGTGCCCATGGAGCCTCTTCTGCCCACATGGCAGCTCCATCACCGCAGTGACACCGATGAGCAGCTGGCACAGACTGTGCAGGGCAGAGCAGCACATGGACCATGGAGGGCACAGAGGATTTGGGTCTGCCTGGTTTGGAGGGCTGGCATGGCTGAGGGCCATTGATGCCGTGGTGGGAGAGGATGGGGAGACAGGAGCACCAAGTGTGAGGGAGCCACAGCAGCAGGACAATAACACATTTCCTTATTTCACTTTCAGAAAGATGAGAAGGAGTTCAGTCTCATGGTGTTAAACAGCAGCTCCCACACTTGGGACTCCCCATGGAAAACCACTCCAGCCTCAACATTCAGTTAAAGTTGACCTGATGCTTTCTGGCTGTGCTGCCCCTGTCACAGCCTGTACCTCTCATGGGAGCTGTGGTGTCGTTTTCTGAGCTGCCAAACCCAGGGGTGTGCCAGGAAAGAGCCCAATGTTTGAAGGTCACACTGCTCCATTTTGTGGGTAGGAGACAGGACTTTGGATACATGAACATCACACTTTTTTTTCTGTGCCAGACAACTCTCACTTCTCATACATTCATTAGAAGCTTTCATGTACTGATTTAGCATCGAGTGTCGTGAACCTCAGTAAAATTAATATTCTACAAATCTACTGCAATTATTTTCAGTTTTTGATCAATCCAGATACTGAACAACTGCATCCACTGGATTAATAGCAAACACTTACTACAGAAACAGGCACCAGCAATCTACCATTTCAGTGTGTCAAATGCTCATAATTACTCATCACGGATACTATTTATATACCCACGTACTGCTAAGTGAAAGAATGCTTTCATCCTGGTTTTATCATTTCTAGATTAAATCACCGTTTTTCYATTTCCTCCAGACAGCAGCTCAGCCCCACAATTTTCTCTCCAAATGACAGGCAATTCTTTTAAGCACATTGAATTATTTTTTCCAGGTGGTGGTTCGTTGAAATTAAATGTTACTCTTTAACATTGCTCAGCAGTACAGCTGTGGCACACAAAGATGACAACTTTAATATTCCAGCCAACTTGAAATCATCAGAATTAAACAGAGGACATTAAATGCAGAATGATACTTACTTCAAGTAAACCCTGGCAGCCAGCACCCCTTTTTCCTGCAGTGAGGGTGCAGGGAACATAGGGAGGAATGCCCAGCAGGAATAGCCATGTGCTCGGGTGCTCTSCTGAGTGAAATGAGCAGGTATGAGTAAAAGATAAAAAATCCAAAATATTYGTTTGATAAATGTAGAGCAAATAGCTCAGATATTTTTGTCTGGCACTGAKGCACCAACATTTTATAAAAATCATATTCTATAATTTTGCAAATTGGTAACAGAAGGGGAAGGCATTGCTACTAGAGATTAAGGCAAAATACATCCCTGTTTGTGAATCTGCTTTATTAGCCATTATCTGAGCTGCTGCTTAGCCTAACCACAGAACAACAGTGCCTCCCAACGCCCAGAGTGTAACTGAAGGTTCATCTATTGCTTGTCTCTGATATTTTATGCATCCTTTTGACCACATCTCAGCAGATCTCTGTGCCAAGAAAGCTTTCATATTGAACTGCAAAATTAAAAGATTATCAAAGAATACGCATATATATCCCCTGGCAGAATATTCTGTTCTTTATTTGCAAGCAAAAACCGTCAGTGACAGCAAACCCTGAAACATGGRTGTGTGAAACCCCAAAGATACCTGGCAATGGTGTGTTGGAAGTGTTCCTGCAGTCATTGACTGTTCACGTCAGTGACACTTGCARTGTCCCAGTTAAGCAGCAGATACTAAATTAACATTTACCTTTTTTTATATCCCAAACCAGGTCCCGACTATTTCAGCTCCAAGAATCTYGCACTGCAAGCCCAGAAAAAGATCCTGAGTAAAATGGCAACCAAAACCATGGCTAACATGCTAATCGATGACACGAGCAGTGAAATCTTCGACGAGCTGTACAAAGTAACAAAGGAACACACAAGAAACAAAAAGGAAGCCCATAAAATCATGAAAGACCTGATCAAAGTGGCAATAAAAATCGGGATCCTCTACCGAAATAATCAGTTCAACCAGGAAGAACTGGAGATCGTGGACAAGTTCAGGAAGAAGCTGAACCAAACTGCCATGACAATCGTCAGCTTCTACGAGGTGGAGTACACTTTTGACAGGAACGTGCTTGCAGAACTGCTGAACGAGTGCAAAGAGCTCGTGCATGAACTCGTAGGGCGACACCTGACCGCGCGGTCCCACGGGCGCATCAACCACGTCTTCAACCACTTTGCAGATGTGGAGTTCCTCTCTGCCCTCTACAGCCTGGACGGCGACTGCCGGCCGAACCTCAAAAAGATCTGCAACGGCATCAACAAACTGCTCGACGAGAAGGTTCTTTGAAACTGCGCTCGAAGGCAAGAAACCAACCAAAAACTTCTCTCTAAACTGGCCACCCTTCATAAGCCATGGTAGGCAAGCAAGCTTCCTTCCCATCAGTCTTACTACAGTCCCCAGCAGGGCCCAGAAAGTGCTCACCAGGCTCGTGATGAAGTGGAAAACTGAAATCAGAAAGCTATCGATTTTAATGTTTTGTTCAGATAATTCAGTCTTTTTCAWGGAGCAGAGTGAACAAGGCTGCTGATGTATATCGTTCAGGAACAGATTGCTATTCACCGTGATCTCGCTGGCTTTGAACGTGTGAAAAGAAAGTACACTCAGATGCATGGCTATGTGAAAATAGACAGATGAAGGCAAGAGCAATGCATGGAACTTGCCCCCAAGGCCCTTGGTGCATATATTTTTATTATTTCCACAGTAAATGAAAAAGCTTTGACAGAAAGTAGGGCTGTGATGGATAAAGTTCACTCCTTTTGAAAGGATCAGGAATCAATCTCTGATTTTACATGGTGTATAAATCTAATAGAATAACAAATCATACAAACTGAAGTGGGAGAAAATCTAAAGAACTGCTCTATGAAGCAACAGTTTTGTTTTATACCTGCTACAGCAGAGAGAAGGATTCACTTTAGTTTGAAGAGCAGGTCAGTGGTTCAAGCTCAAAGGTAACCAGAAAACCAGACRAGTAGTACAGCAGTTCCCCCACTCTCAGGGTCTGTGTGTTGGGTAACAGCAGGTGAGTTTAGGCTGAAGGTTGTGCTGCTCTTATGTTCTGCCTGACAGAACAAAACACTCTTTGTGAAGATTTTGAAATTGCCCTTGTGAGGAACAGCACAACTGAGACATCAACATTTACATCCCTGATCTTCAAAATATTCAGCCTAGGTAACACTCTTGGTTTAATGTGCCCGTGACATTTGTGCCTACAGTAAATCAGAGGTGGGATACAATAGAACCCATCCACTATTCTTGCAGTGCCTCCGAGTGTAGCATATCCACAGTTGTCAAAAGAGAAACGCCTTAGTGACTCTGGTGAGTGTCTGGAGTGAGTTTTTATTCAGAATGTTTTCAGTGGCTTTTTTTGACACAAAATATACTGATGTCTTCAAACTGAAAACATTTTGCAAAGAAAGAGTTGGTTTTCTACAGCCATGGTTGGATACAGGGAGTCCAGGAGCAGAGCAGATGCCCTGGYTGCCACCTGCAGAACCTGGGTAGGTGCAGACTGACCCAGAGTAAAAACCACATGTTCAGAAATCTCTCCTCTCCTTGTTCTCTCCATCTTATCCTCCAGACTCATCTGCCTCCTGACACTGCAGTATCAGGAACCCTCCCCTTTCAGCTGACAGAGAGCAGACAGTGCCATCATCTGGGGGTGATACCCTCCATACCATGTAGACTATAATAGAGAGATGCATGAATTTGAAAATTAACRAAGACAAGAAAATATATTTGAAAGCCATTCCTCCCTAAGGGAAGCTTACAGGGTTGATCACTCATTACTTTAGGATAAGAAAAAAATGTTTCTCATTTAAATAAACTCTTGAATTCTATGGTGTTAAAACTGTTCAAAAATCTTAATAGCCTTCTCTCCCCTCGCCCTAAAATAACTGTATTTTATCTCTTGCCACAASAGTTTTTACTGTCACACCTTTATACAGTTGAAAATACACATGCCCAGGTCATGTRTTCACCTGGGCTATCCTGAATGGATTTTTACCTGTTCCCAGGAGAACTCATTTGAAGCACAGTACAAATGAAAGACATTGGCAGAACAGTTTTTAATGATGTAAATTTCCCCCACATCCTTCCTTAACCATTAAGAGTAGATTGAGTAGCAGTGAAGATGGACAACGCCTTTGCAACACAGTAATGAAGCAGCAACATTTGGGGTTGCAAGTTCAACCAGTTGCAGAGCCATAGTTCCATGCACCATTACCTGCATTTCTTCCAAGCATGTATTTGTCAACTGATGCTTTTGGACAGTATTTATTGTATCCAACGCTCCTGTCCCAGTGCACATGTCAGATTTTGTGTGTTTCATTTGTGGTAAACAAATTTAAGTTCTTTTAAAACCAGAAAAAGAATCCAACATTCAAGACGTCTAAAGGAAAGGGATATCCTCTATTTGTGACTTTTTGTGTGTTGCAATTATCAATATTCAGATTCTGGTATTTTAGACACACCAGCTGAACATCTGTTGTTTTATTTAAAAATACTCTGAGTAGCCTTAAGGAAAGATATGTTTTCAAGTATTTCTCATACTTGCATATCCTGTATATTCATTGTTTACTTTTGTACTTGTAGCTTGGTATGTAATAACATTGCTAAAATATGGGCAATGTTCAGGTCACCTTAAATATATTATGTATTATCACATTTGTGGATTAAAAATGTGTGATTACTGCCATTTTTGTTTCCTTTGGATTTATTTATCCTACCACCTCTAGTGCATTGCAAGCACAAGTCAGCAGCCACAGAGCAGATAAAATCTCACTCTCCCAAAGAGTTTCTTGCAAGTTTTCTGTGATTTATTCAGCACAGTTTAGCTCAGTGTGATTTAAGGTAGATGGACATCCCTGACAGACTTCACAGCCCTGCCCTAACCATGGAGATGCTGGAACCTACCAGAATGTTTGAACAGCAAGCAATATATATTCTCCTGTCCTTATTTCCAGAAAATGCAAATTGTTTTGGCTGGAAGAGCTCAGGATTTGCAAACAACTCACAYGGCAATTATACTGAAAGCAATCAAAACTGGCACAAACAGAAAACTGACAACTACCTTAAAATCAAAGTTTAAAGCAATCATCCTAAGTGCTGCTTTGAGCCTTCCTGCTGGGAAAACATTGCTGTCRGGTTAATTTTATGAATCATATCATGGCAGGACACAATATTCTTTGCTTCATCACTGCCAGCTTTATACAATAAAGACAAAAATATTAATGTTCAAGAAACTCATGAGAGTGACCACTTCTGCCATCAAAATTAAATGATGCCTGTACCACAGAGCTGCACATCCCACTGAATGCATGATCTGATTTGTGCTAGGAAAACRTTCTCACAGACAGGCACATAAATAGCTGGCCCTGAAGAGAACTGAGCAGTAAAGCACAATTAACTTTCACCACAGCAACAGAAATGCAAAAAGCAAGTTTCAACTGGATGACTTAAGCAGGTCTATTTTTGTTTTTACATAAATCAATGCAAGAAAAAAACCACGCACACTCTTACCCACACAGAAAAGATAACACTGCTTTTTATGATGAATAACTGCTGGTGGGACTATATGGGAARCACTTTTCCAATATTCAGAAACCATCAATGTCATTTATGAGCTACTTGCAAGCACAGGAAAACCTCAAGACAGTGCCATCCATTACACAAATTTACTCTTCGGGTCCTTACAAGATAAGGAGGTTCTGGCAGTACTTAGAAGAAAGTAACATAATCCAACAGGAGATTTAGTCTATATTCAGGGAAACCTCTTGCATCATACTGCCATGGTGCACTTCCTCCAATTTTTCTACCAAAATATTTATTTCAATAAAAATACCTGAAAATACTTGGGGTAAGGAGGTAGAAGCTGAGAGAACAGTTGAAATATCGATCAAATRCAATCACTTTCCTGTTGACTCCCAAATGTCCAGAACACACAGCAGTARAACAGTGAGGCCTCCTGGTACCTAAGGGTTTGGTCCAGTCTCAGTTAACCTGTCGGTTCAACAAGGTAAGGATAGACAGACTGGCCTCTGGCTGCCTCTTGAACAACATGTAATAAATATCAAACTACTTTTTTTTTAATAAAACTCAATTTTATTAAACTGCAATAAATGCAAATCTGGTGATAGATTCAGAACAATATTTGTTGGGCAATCCAAATATAAAGACTGACACARGTACAATTCTCTGTAAACTCCTTTAAGTGATGTTACCATAAAGCAATTACARTCAGAATACTGACACCTCACACTATTCATACAGTGAAAATGGTTACAGAGAACATTACATAACCAACRAGAAGGCATTGTCTTTGCTGCTCTTTAAACACCAGGACATTGAACATCTCATTGCTGAAATGGTTTAAATGCATAGGCCACAAACAGATATTTGTATTAGAGTTCCTATAATTACAGAAGTCCAATTGCATAACACAAGTCTGATTTACCAGCAGGGAAATTGTCTGCTGGATATTATTCCACTATAAATCAGTTTTCATTTATATGAACTGTCTTGAAGTGCCAAGTAAACATTAAAGTAGGCAGAACATTAAATATATTTACAGGTTCAGTGCACTTTAAATTCCTCAGTAAGAGGGTACTGAAACAATTAAAGGAGCTTTGCTTCAATGTTATACTTGTCATAACACAAGTAGCATGACTAAAAAAATTTAGCTATCAGCACATCAACATTCTTACAATAATCCCATGAACATTTACCAAAACATCAGCAAAGTAAAAGAATGCTTGATTTTTCCTTAAAACCAGTGCTTATCAGGTGAGAATCAGTAGTGCTGAAATATAAGTTTCCTTGTTACTATTAAACACACGAGAAAGAGAATTCCACTATAGGATCCCTTTATACCATGTCTAAACTGTGWGCACAATCTCAGATGCTCAAATAAAAAGCATGACCAGCTACAAATAATATTAACCAGTACTTTTTTTCATTTACCATCGAAATAAACTAAGATYGCTGGATTTTCAAGATTGTGAGGTTACTTCAGGAAGCCAAGACAGTCTGCTCAGACACATTTTCCAGATTTGCTGCTCTGATTTAATCTCTCATGCCTTGCTGCAGTTCCCAGTCATGCACACACAACACAGCCACATCTCTGCAAGTCAGACRTTTGATGAGTCATAATGAGGCTATAAATAATTAGAGGTAAAAATAAGTTTTCCCCTYGTGAATTCTCATGGACAGGGATTTTGGCCAGATTAAATTTACAGGATGAACTGGAAAAAAAATGAATATGTTCACTACCCAAGAATAAAGGAGTGAACACATCCACAGCCAAGCCCCCCAGTCCAGTCATCTCCAACTGGATCCACATGGAATTKCTTTAGACAAATGCACAAATACTCAGTGACTCTCACAGACCCCTATGCAAAGGGAATCAGATGGAAATATGGGGCAGGAAGAACTGCAGACAGGAACTAACCTGAAGGGCCTTAGAYAGTCCCCCAGGAAGGGCTTCCATACAATTTCACATGCCTGACTCCTATCAAAAACCTGCTTAGATGTTATCGCTTCCATGGTAAATATCAAAGATCGTGGGAAGTGTTTTGCTCCCTAGAATCTTTTTTGCTGTTTTAAAGCCGTGCATTTGTTGCTACATAAGGTATACAACCACCAATATGGGTCTTGMTGCCAGCAGTGCTTAAAAATAGCTTTAGAAAAATTATCAAAATTAAATTAGATAACTGATCAAGTCTGACCTCATAATGGAAGTATGTTTTCTTCAAAATCATATTTAAGTAGTTGCTATGAGAAATAAGTGTTGGCATCTATAAAAGCCGCGTAATAAAAATAAATACTTTCAGTCATTTACAACAAAATTAATATACATTTCACTTACACAGGTAACAATACTTTAATGTACTGTACAGTCCTGAGCATGTTTTTGCAGGCGTAATTTAGGTCATCATTCTTCCCCCACAAGTCCACATGRACAATGCCAAGCTGGAAGAAAACTTTTAATACTTCAAGAAGCAGTATCTTAGTTTAGCTTTGGTAATTATCTGTGCAACTGTATAAATCTTTGATTTGTTTTCACACGCCAAACAGATTAAGGCAGGCACTATTGTTATTAGGATTCCTCCAGCACCTTCTGACACTGATAGAGCAAACCATCGGGAAGAGCAGCACAAGGGGATCTGAACCACAGGGCCAGCATCCCTGAGTGAGTACAGCAGTGCAGCAGACAGGGCACAGATGGGAGGAGCTGGCAGGCCAGTATTCCCTCAGTACCTGGGAGACCACAGACCAAAATGAAATAACAATTAACAAGTAACAATTTCTACAGTAATTATAGTAATTAGACTYCACAGAAAATGCATCCTTCACATTTTATGTCTGCTGTTCTCCCCTTCTCTTACCTGGAACTGATGGAAGACATCACCAAAAGTCAAGCCAAAATCACATTTGTCAAACAGCTTCATTCCCTTTTTATCCTCTCCAAAACTCTTCACAGTGCAAGTCCTCTCCCTTGTAAAATTCCCTGTTTGCTGAACACCTGTGCCTTTACATCACCTTCCCACAGATCCCTGAGCAAGGCAAAGTCCATGGGACACCACTGCTGTGTTCACCACCCTTCCCAACATTCCCTCCCTTAACATGGCACATATTCCATGCACTTGTTTTCCTGGGACAAAATATAGGCTGTGAGCAACATTACAGTATSCTTTCACTTACCTATAATGTCAACTACATGGAGTTTCAGCTTCTGTTGCAATCTATCCAGGGCTGTTGAGAGGGAATCTARGCAAGATGACATTTTTATATTCTGTTTCACATCATTGGAAAGAGACAACCACAGCTTCCCAAAGTCTTCTGTAGTCATTTGCATTGGCCTAAAAGGCAGTTCACCACATTTTTTAGCTAAACAATACATATAAAGTTAGATAATATTTAATCTCAACCCCCATGTCTAGGAGCAATAGGACAATAGAGCACAAAGTAAGTAAATACATATTAATCTAAACAAACCCCTCCTCTTTCCACTTTAACATTTAAATATGCTTCTGTTCCTTGCCCTCAGATTTCTAAATTCTAAAAAAATTAATTTATCAATTTAACCTCAAAAGAAAAGTCTGCTGAAAAAGGGACACTTGCTTTTTCCTAGTCCTGAAATAAATGCAGTGTTCAAAAATAAAAAGAATGAGCTTTCTTCTTTCTCTGCAAAAGTTGTCGGCCTTTTCATACAATGTTCTGGTCTCTGCACTCAAACCACTTGCTTACCCTTGACATGTTTACATTATGCCATGTTTTAAAGCAGCATACCCTTCTGCTCTCTCGTCCACAAAAACAGCTACTGTCAACATTCTCCCTGCATTTGTACTTCTTGCTGGAACTTTGCCCCTTTTTTGCAAGTGTAAAACAACCCTTTATTATMTTCAACAACCATCTTAGATTAAAATTAGCTGCTCAATTAAAGCCTTATACTTTCACAGTCAATACACAAATCATCAGCCCTTTGACCATTACTGAGTTAAGTACACACATTTTTAAAAACTGCAGCTTATTTTATTTACCTGATGAAGTCCACCAGTGATAAAGTTACTGAAAATTCAAGGCGAGTTTCCATCTCTGACTGGTAATTAACAGAACCAGAAAGAACTCCCTGTGTACASACTTTGTTCATCCTCATGCATTTCTGGCAATGTTCCACACTTTGAGCTTCAATTACAGGAAACTGGGAGGTGGCA